GGAGTCTGGAGATTCGACCAGGTGTGAGAAGGAACATGCTGAATCAGCTGGTATCCCAGCTTCTTCACCGGAAACTTAACACAAGATCACATCTTTGTTGCCCTCGTAGCCATCCAATTGAGAAAACACAAACCCTCACCCCCGGACGACGACTCCAGTCTCACAGGGGCCCGGGCAAGGTGGATGCGACCTCTTGTAGAGTGGGAAGTGCTTGGTGCTCCATCGCCTGGGCAGAAGTGAACCGGGACTGGGCAGCCCAGGAGTATACCCTGCACGGTCGCCACTGTCTTCTAACCATACTTGCTGGGGCTTTGGCCAGAAATCAAGCCCGTCCCCTGTCACCCAAAACCAGACGCAAAGTATCGCTTTGGGATTGTTGCCACGGATCATTAATCCCAGAGGCTCCTGAATCTGGACTTATGATCGTGTTCGCTGGAGGAATGCTGCCAGACGCATGGGCGAACGCTCCGTGGCGCCGGCCTCGAAGGCCCGGGGGGCGACGCACGGCCCGCCCGGGCAACGGCGGCTCGGTGCTGGCGGCGGCGGAAATCGGTCCATACACTCCAAGAAGAAACGGCGAATTCGAGGGTTGTGATGATGACGCTGAATAAAGGTCTTTCTGAAATAGTGATATCTTTTACCAACTGTTACTGGTTTGCTGGGCTACACACTACATAGCTCTTAAATCTAGCAGCGTGTCTTCCAAGCTTAGACCTTAAGCCCAAGAAACATTCAGCCCAAAAATCTCGGAGAAGCGAATGAAACCAACCACTGGGATGATTGTCGTCCGCAGAATGTGCTAGATGTTATGAGCGGTTGATAAAACGAACAAATGGATGACTAATGGATGACGATGTCGCCCTCCTGTGGGAAACCTTCTGGAGGCGAAACCCCTGAACTGTCAGTGAAACCCCTGAACTTCAGTGAACCCCCCCCTGCGTTGTCTGAAATTTTGAGGTAAAAAAAGATCACATGGGATGGGGATCAAACGAGGCCAGCAGTATTTGAGGCAGACCCTTCAAACGAGGTCTGGAGCTGAATGGGGATCCATTTGAAAAGACCACAGACTGGGGCTTGGATCTGCTGAAATCAGCTTGAAACACACTACAGCTTGGTACAAATGAATCATTGCAACATTCAAGTGACATATTTGAGGAGTGTAGTGGAAAAGGGATGAATAGGCAGATGGGGGTTTAGTATGGTTTAGTCTAGCCATATAGATGGGTAAGTTTTGTTTATTTGATCATACCGGGTGCTTTTCGACCCATTCGACCCTCTCCCTACTTCAATACACACCCCCATTCTTGTGACCGACCCGGCAAACCCGTCCGCCCCGGGTCGAGAACTCACCTTCCCAGGGAGCACCTGTGACTCTATGGTTCTTCAAGGGATTCTTCATCAAACAAGTGAGGTGCTCCCAAAACCATTCAGGAGTCTCTACCAACAAATCTGTGGCTGATAAGGGATCTCTGTTCCTCCATCATATTTTTATCAATAGGACAAATATGGACAAATCCATTACCCAGCCAGTATCTGGTGAAACACACAATCTTTTTCGGCCGCACATGTCGTTGCTTGCCTTTCTGCCGCGCGTCTTGCGCAGGCGGGGATAGGGATGGTTCCATCTCCGGCCACGGCAGCTGTATGTGTCAAGGGGGAAACTGATTGGATGAAGGGTTGATACTCAAGTGTTCATGAAGTCAAGTATGAGCTTGAAATCAATATTATTTGGGTCCCATGCCAGCAAAAACGGCCTTTCTGACACATGGAAATGATTGGATCTGGCGTTGACGGTTTCCCTTGAAGTTGATGGTGTAATGCCCCAGTTCCCATGTGGCATGGTTACGATCTTGATCATGTCTGGATCATGGCGATGGAAGTGGCCAACAGCACCGGAAGACCAGGAGGTGTGCCGAATTATGTACAATAGTGACACTCACTCTTTGCTGGGAACGGTGTCTTGATGCGGCGTTAATGGTGTCCTGCGGAACCAGAAGATTTTGACATGTTCATCCGTAAAGCTGGGAAAATCAAGAGCATGCCAATGTTTGCGATCCTGGTAGCCAATCTTTTCCCATTTTGTTGATGTCAGCTCAGCGGTGCGGACACAACTCACATGGGACAAGATACTGCTACACAAACACAACTGACGCACCAAACTCAAGTGCGTATCTTTGGAGAGCGGCTTCAGCATGTATAGCTGAAGGGCCCGGAACTCAACTTTTGTACCAGGGCACTATCCCACAAGTCCACAGCACACATTGCTACGAACAAAAATCGTAATGTGGCTTTGTTTCTTTCTGTTTCCCTTTCTGTTGTGATCCCAACACTGTTTGCCCGCTTCTGTCTTCAGAACATGACCTTCTGACCTCGAACTGTTCTTTTTTCCCCACCTGCCAGGTGAGGGTTGTTAGATTTATTGGAGCTCCTCCGCGATCGCAGTGGGCATTGCCGGACCTCAACCACCAGCTCCCAATCGCAGTGAGCATAGCCGGACCTCAACCGCCAGGTCCGGATCGCAGTGGTCAGAGGGAACAGGACGGGATGATTGCCCAGTCATAGGGGTGATGTGAATTCCAGGCTGCTTAGTTTGAAGATGCTGCGCCGGTGCCTTTTGGTTCATTTGTGTTTGGCACAGTGGTCAACCCTTCAACACCCTGATAAGTGCATTCAACACCTCTCGGAGTGTGAGTTGCTTATTAGTAATTCCTTTTCTTCATGGGCTTCTCTGCATTTCAGCATTCCCCAGCATGGAAACACACTTACTTGGTTAAGGAGAGGAGACCTTCAGCACTAAAGTCTCAAGAAAGGTCACTGCAACTTGTGCTTCTTGGTCTGCTAAGGCTCTCATTCAAGGCCATCGTGATGGAGCATCCTGCCTATTGAGGTGGACGGTTCCAACCTGATGTGACAGAAGTGGAAGGAGTTGTTGCGCAGACTTCTGATGCACAGACAGGAATCGTTCTTCACATGTTCCTCTAGTAAATGATGCAAAGTTATTGTTGTTTCAGCTTGAGTACTCTGTTGAACCAGTACCGGAAGCAAGTTGTACACCGCTTCCATGTTTCGATCCATCCTGCACCATGTGCGCTTTTCGATGCTTTTCATTGCTACCCGTGGTGAAGGCCGCAGGCCCGGGCCTTGAGGCTTTGAGGCAGGAGGCCCTTGCGGCGCAACAAAATCCTTGCGAGATGCCAAGAAGTATGGGACCGACTGAGCGACCGCAGAAGTTTTTTGCCACTGTCTTGTCGGCATGGTTGTGAACTCCGAATGCTCGAGGCCGGGGTTAACATGTCTTCCGGACAAGTGGGCCAAGAGCGTGAAAAGCCCCGTGGAGACGGCCGCGCTGGCATTCTGCGAAGGAGCGGCCGTGGGTGATGAGGACTCAGTGCCCTTGGAGCTCTCGACGGGCGCGTGGATGCCTTGCTTGCACGCAGGAGCACCGAAAACTGCCGCTTGGCATTTGGCTCATGTATGCAGAGACGAGTGCAAAGAGTTGGTGAGAAGACGCAGGAGGACTTGCGGCGGATACAGATTGATATGAATGGACAGTGGGGACGTGCGCAGCCCGTTGGTAAGACGTGTGCGGCCCGCGTGGTGAGGAAGGGATCTTCGGATGCTGCAGCCAGTCCTGCGGGTGGAATGGCCACAGCTGCATCTCTAACTTATAGAATTTCTTCTGAACAGCAAAAGGCTGATTGGCAGGCCAAATGCTGCACTGAGTGCAACGTCAGCTTCTCAGTGGACTTTGAACGCAATGAAACGCATCTTTGGCAAGTGACTTTTTCAGAAAAAACATCGGTTGGGAAACAAACTATAGGGTTAGGTGCTTCATCACACTCCAAAAGCAGTCGCTGCAAACAAAAGGTCGTAAAAGTCACAACGCCAACAGAGATGCATTTTCTAGCACCATAGATGTTGCTGTGTACACAGTCAGGGGAACAAAACAGCTTCGCTGGGCCTGCCAGAAACATCCGGCGTAGGCGTGCGCCGTAGAAAACAATCTTTTGTCAACTCCTTCTTCACTTGTCCATAGACCATCCATGTTGCAAATCGAAGCACTTGGAGCGTTTGGCATGTATCATGTTCTTTGACGCTCTTTGTCAAAAACAATCAAGCTATTAGATCAATGGTCAGCTGCCATTTTGTACGACGGAGGATTGGATTTTGGAAAGAAACCGTTGAGGTTCTCAATTCATGTTTAACTCGTTGCTGCTCACACTTTGGACTGCGCAAACAGCCTGACAGTGCGATGGAGGCCATGTGTGGAGGCCGTGGAGGCCTGGCCTTATTGTACGCAGGTTTGAGAGTCGGATGGAGGCCGTGAAGGCCATGTGGCGCGGAGGCCCGGCGTTACGCCCTGACAATGTGATAGAGGCTGGTGCGACGGAGGCCGGCCAGGCTATGTGTGGAGAGGCTGTGGAGGCCCGCAGCCCTGTCAATGCGATGGTGTGGTGTATGCGTTCAGGCCGCGGAGGTCTGTGTGATGGAGGGTGTGGAGGCACTGCCAGGCTGCCAGACCTCAACCGCCAGCTCCCGATCGCAGTGGGCCTTGCGGCCGGACCTCAACCGCTAGCTCCCAATCGCAGTGGGTGCTGCCGGACCTCAACAGCAAGCGCCAGATCGCAGTGGGCACTATACTGGACCATATTGGACCTCAGCAGCATCCGCCAGATCGCAGTGCGCACTACCAGACCTAGCAGCCTCGCACACGGTCAAGGAGTGCGCCTGCGTGGACAGCGAGGCTAGGCCTCCACTGTCCGAGCTGCAACGGCGAGTGGGGTGGCACAGGTGCTGGTGTCACTGGCCTTGCGGGCTGACATGTTCAGCTGGATGTAATCTGAGCGATTCCGTTGACAGCAAGAATTGCCAACACCAACTCAGCGAGCGAGGGCCGATGAAGTTTACCCCTCCCCACAAGACATCCCTGGAGCTTGAGGTGAACAAGATTGAACAAGACCAATAGGACCAGCGCCGTGATCCGGTAAATGGAGCCGCGCCTCGGTTGGAAGGCCCAGAGCCTCTGCCGCCAAAACCGCTAGGGGTGCGGCAAGCATAGCGGGTGCAAGCAGAGGATTGATTATGTCCCATACATCGGAACCGTACCAAGTCCACACCCGCATCACAAACTGGCCCCCGCCATCACAAGCCATCGATGGCATTCCGGCATTCCCCTGTCCACTGACAAAATTTCTGCCAACACCGTGCCTAACTGCAACCCTCACCTGACAGGGGAACAATCACAAACCCGAGGACCCAAGCAAAATCGACCACCACAAAACCATGGCAACATGCCCTTCGCTATGGCATGAAAACAAGCGATTGAAATGCCATGGTGGTGATCACTAAGTAAAGTACTTGCGCTCTTGTGTTGATCGGGTGCCTGCTGGTCGATTTATATTTACATGATAGTTTTTCTTGGTTGTTGTGGAATGCACAAGTTGGGGCAAATTGTGGTTAGTTCAATCTTTCAGAATACAGTGTTTGTCTCTTGCCCTATAGTCAGGAAACCTTGGTCGCACATCACGTCGCCGCAAATCACAACAGTGCACCGACATGCACCGACCTCCTTTAATTCATTTTCAAGAGTGATGGTTCACTGCAATCCCTCAGAGTGTGAATTCAGTCAACTTTGTCAACGCTGGAAACACCCACCACCATCCTCCCTTTGCCAAGTCTTTGGGAACAACGGGGGCAAGATTTGCAGGCCGCTTTGCAAACGTGAAATCAAAAAACAAAAGTGCCCCCTAAGTTTGCATGGCCGGCAGTGATCCCCACCTTTTCGCTTTCAAGTACCATGCCAGCACTGCGGTCTCCTCGTCAGTCATCTGCCAAAGCGGCAAGCTCCTTCAAGCCGGTTGGGTCCAATGACGAAATCTTGAGCCTTCAAGAGAGTGCCTTAAGATCAAGAAATCTACACAGCGATCAAAAAAGAGTTGATGAGGCCGCACCATAAGGACAGCCTTGTCACTGGGTATGCTGCCACCTTAAGATCAAGAAGTCTCACAGCGATCAAAAAAGAGTTGATGAGGCCCAACCATAAGGAAAGCAAGTATCCAAGCCTGGCCCATTAAACCATTTGGTCAAGTGAGACCTCGAGATTGATTCACTTCTTCAGCTTCTGTCTTTCATTGACCCTCTGCTTGGGGCGCGACAAAACAACAAGCCGTGTTGACCAAAAAAAGATGTCCGACTGCAGACCACGCGGGAGAAACGTGCTCAACGTGGGAGTACGATCTCAAGAGTCGATGTCGCATAGGTTCGGAAGCTGGCTGCGAAGGAAGCGAAGGTAGAAGTGGGTGGACAAGTGAGCTGCCTTCCCTCCACTGTGATCCTGTAAGCCAACGCTTAGCATTCGAGTCCTCCTCCTCCTCCCTTGTATTGTTTAAATATGCTTCCTCACCTGCAAGATCGCGGAGATGGTTCGATCGAAACGTCGGCATGTGGAGCTGCGGCGCCGCTAACTCTTGGATAATGATATATAATGATTTGTATGGATTTGTTCGTCTCCGAGTCAGTGGATCATGAACAACTTGGAGCCTCTCCTATCAGCCCAACTGGTGCTTCATCTTCGCACAATTTGCCCAAGGGCCCATGAGAAAAGAAAGTCCGGCGACTTTAAAGCTGGAGGACCTAGGCCTTGAACAGGGACCCCTAAAACCCCAAAGACTTGATGCTTTCTTGCTCAACCCAAACCAGCCAAATTCACTTCAAACATTTTGTCTTGTCCTTCGCATCTCAAACATGGAGGGCATGGAGGGCATCACGTGTCCAGACTCGGTTCTCCGGTGAAACCCACCCCCGTTGAAACCCACCCGCGCGCTGCTTGAATAGTGGGTACGGCATGTCTGGTTAGTGAGGAGGGACTTCACCTGAGACAAACCGAGCCATGCATATAGAAGTTGATCCTCACAGAATGAACTTCCACACAATGGTAGACGGTAGACCATCCCTGAGACTGGATGGTTGTAATATGTTGTAATCCCCACTGACACAGCTGGGGGTCTTGGTGGTGTGTTTTCTTGCACAAACTCGCTTTCAGCCGGCTTCTGGGGATTCCCCGCATGTTCACATCCAGCGCAGGCTTCCAGGACACGGGATGTAGGACCAAAAGAATTGTGCAACAGAGTCCAGTAGGTATCTGAATGGCAACGTGATTTGAGATGTGTTCATGACTGTTTTGTCCCTGTGCACGGACCCACCGCACGGACCCGGCAGGCTCGCGTCGCGTCACCGTGGTGTACTCCGAGATCCGACCGTTCCGTTTGGACGTCCAGGCCGAACCCCGTGGTCGGAAGATCTATGGCCGATCGTGGGAAGCTTTTGGAAGCAAACGGCTGGGGGGATGGCCTTTTCCGCGCGATCCCAAAGGCTGGAGGAAGTCAGTGCAAACAGCGAACATCTCGGGCGACGAGTGGCGCAGGTGTATCCACCGACATGAGAGTCTTTTTTCAAGCAGCTTCCACTCTTTGAGCAACGACGGTTCTGTAGCGATTTCCGTAACTTAGCGATTGTGGCTTCACCCTCTTCACCCTATTCCGCTGAAAGATATGCACTATGCCAGGCTTTGACCAGCAGCATTCATTTCTCACGTTTTCGCCAGGCTGACTCGCCCCAGGGCTTTCTCGGTTGAGGGAGTTTCTCCCGGTTTCGCCCAACCGGAGAAAGCCAGCTTCGGACCCCCAGCAGACATCCCATCGCCGGCGACACCCACCGAGCTTCACCAACCGAGCTGAAGCTCGCGTTGTTAGGATTTGCCTGATTTGCCTTCACAGAGCTGTAGGGTTGGTTGAGTGTTCACTTCATGTTCTCAAATGACACGGACATAGTGTCAACATGTGTCAACAAAGGCTGGGTTTGTTTACCCAGTTCATAGATCTGGATCACCTGCATCCAACAAGTCATCAGCACCAAAGAGACACTCCTGGTGTTAAGTTCTCTCCCTGATCCGAGTTGGCTCCTCCTCATCTGGCTCAGCAGCAGCCTGCCAAGCATGGGAGTGGCTGGAGTCTCGGACCACGGATATTCCGAGCTCTCACAGAGATTCCGGATTCCGGAACCCAACATGCACAGATTCACACCTGTTCATGCAACAGATTTGCAGGAGCCTCCCCATCTTCATAAGAGATCTTTAACTGTCTGGGTCCCTTGGTTCTTGTATGTTCTTGTGGATCGCAGTGGTTTTTGGGAAGCCCACAGTGTGGATTCCAAAGACTATACTGTAGATTTTTAAAGTTAGAAACGCATGTGGCTCAAGGAATGAGCATTTAGTTTACAAACCCATGTGGCTCACCCAAGTTCTAGCTACAGCATAAAAACATGTGGCTAAAAACTGGCAAAACATGTTAAAACAAAGCTGCTTGGACAATCAATTAGAACATTTCTGCAATCAAAATCCTAGCGAGACTCCTAGCAACATGATACAAGAGTTGTGAGCGACTCTACTATCAATGAGAGATTCGGATGGTCTAAGCAAGTTCATGCAAGTTCTATTATTAAAAAAATGTATGATACACACGTATTGAAAATCAGGGAATGAACATGTATCGAACAAATGTGCTTGTCGTGTGTTATAATTCAGAGAAAATCAACATGGTCAACATGCCGAAGTTGTCAAACACGTCGGCTGTCCCAAGCACGGCTTCCAGTCCAACACGGGCTCTTCCAGTCAAACACCGTGGCTTCGAACACGGAACTGTTCCGAAAAGAACCTGAAACGACCAGGAGTTCCATGTCGGGTTCGGGGTAGCTTCTAATAGACGTCCCATCGAACTGGATGTCGTGGTCACCGGTGAACCGTACAGAGCGGTCTGTTCTCACCGGTACCCGTTGGCATCTGTCTGCCTCCATGTGTTCTCGCTGTACTTGGCCTGTTGGGGAACACGTGCAGGCAGCGAGGGCGGGGAAAGGGCACGAAAAAAGCACGCACGCACTCCAAGCCACATGGAACACATGGAAGTGGATGCTGTTTTTGCGCCAGACGATGCTGGCGCAAACGGCTGTTTTCTAACCGATCTTTTGGGGGCGACTGCAGTTCCCACGCAGCAACGGCCCCAACAGGGACCCCTGCGAATGACCAAAGTTGGTCCGTGTTGGTTTGGGGGAACCTTCAAACAGCTCCAGGTGAGTTGACCTGATTATCTTGACATGTTTTGATGACTCCAAGGGGGGAAGGCACTGGGGCAAAATGATGGAAGAGTTCCAACAGATCATGTGTAGCTGTTTTCCATCATGTTCCAATTCTTAGTTTGGATCAAATTCACGTATTTCGACCACGACATCACTCCAGGGACCTGAGGTTGAATCCTGAACAAACAATCACAAAATGTCCTTCCAGTAGGGGAAAGCAACATCGCAAGAACCCTCAAAAAAGAGTCTTCTAAACAATGTCAAGTCAAGTCTATTTATCTTTTTTTGAAGTAAGAATTCCTTCTCTTGCCTCACTGGCAGTGAAACCGCTGCAATGTTTGTTTGCTCTTGCAAACTGGGAAAACGTTGCCATTCTCTGCTCCCACCTACCCAAACCCAGCTGCTCCTACATCTCCAGGTGCCCGATCCCCTACCAAGTGCTTGTGCTTGATGTGTTTTGTGTTTCCAAGGACCGCAAACCCATCGAAAAGGAAGATCTCCAAAAAGGACTACGTCTCACTATCTCACTATGTCATGATATCTCAATGATCTGGATATATATATATATATTATACACATAACTATGTGTATACATATATATATATATTATTTGTATATCTATATATCCATATATATATATATCCAATATATCTTTCTTCATCTGTCTCAGTCCTTCCAAGTACCAAATCCACCATCTCCATCTTTCAACCCGAAGATCTCCAGATCGATCTCACCGCGGTGTCTCCGGATCCCGGGTCTCCAAGCGTTGCCGCAAGAAGGCCGTGATGCAGGTGAGCACCAAGGAGAGACCTCCCAGTGGGAGGGCGATGTGGTCCGACCATTGTGTGTTTGTTGACATAGTCCTGATTTGTTGGATCTGGGCTCGTGGACTCTATGGTTATCAAGTCTACGGTTATCAAGTCTACGAGATGATCTACGGTTATCTTAATTTGGGCAGTTTATATATACTGTAATTACGTCTCATTTAACCACGTGTCGTCCATGTATTCCAATTAATGTTTGGTGGTTGCTTTTCGTGCTTGCCATGGCACAAATGGCTAGAATGGCAGTTCTGCTGGGAATTGACTGATCAGAGATCAGTGGGCGTCTAGACGAACGCTGATCACATCGTTCGCTTTGACCCACTGAGGCCTAGGTCGGACCGCCTGGACTTGAGGACTCCCAGTAGAGCGCCCATTGCCGGGGGCGATCGAAGAGCGGGGGCCAGGATCGTCTGGGTGTTCCCTTCGGTTCGAGCCATGACCTGTAGATGGATAGAAACAACCATCTGAGTAGGTGTCCGGTGTGGGTCTCCAAAAAAGACTCTCTGGAAGTGTAAAGCCTTTGAATTCCTATTGTTTCTAGGCCAGAACGCTACAGAATGCAGTTATCCAAGAAATCCAGCGCCACCCAAGCTAGCAGAATACCCCACCAGACTAGTCTTCGGGGAACCCCTGAACATGTCGCCCATCTTCAGGGCCTTCTGCCTGCGCTGTCCACAGCAACTGGGTGAACCCGCACCGTAACGCGACAAGAAAATGGAGGCGATCGAGGCCACCGCTGCCCTTGGCGGAAGGGGCCGTGGCGGGGATGGGCCGTGGCTGGGATGGGCATACTGAAATCGATAGACTCCGAAGCAAACATGCTTTCAAATCATATCGTTGAACCTAGCATGTTGCATAGGGAACTTTAGTATAGGCCATGCTTAAACAGTACTCTTTAAGCGGTAATTACATCGATCCCATCAACACACCCATCCCAGCTACCCGCTCTGACAATGGTTCAACCATCGGGTGGGTCAATCCCTGCCGGTTGGTGACCCAGGTCTGCTCATCATGCACGTGAACAACTGTCTTTTCAGTTGGTAGATCAACTGGATTGTGGGACGCTCGTAGTCATGTCGTCTACTTGGTAGCCAAGAATCATGATCTATATTGTGGTTTTGAAACCACTTTATAGATCAAGAGTCCACACCGTTTCCCATGGAAATGTTCCCGCTTTCGCAATCCTCACACTAGAAGACAGGTGGGATCTCCACATGGGTCCGCACTTGAAAGACCGGGTTTCCCCCCCAATGACTGGAGAGCGAAACCACGTTATAAAGAAGAGAAACCACCAGTTCCAGCTCAAAACAGTTTGGAGTCTTCGGGTTTCCACCCTTCTGCTCCATCGGCCCATCGGAATCCCAATCTTTTGGAACTGTGTAAAACACACATCACCAACAATGTGTGTGTGTGTGTTTTCTTTCCCATGGTGATTTCTTGAGGCACAGACCCGGACTTTCTTGCTCAGATTTTTTCCTCATTGTACCCATGTCCTTTCCGTGGTTTCCTGGGTCGCCGTGGGAGGCTCGGAACTGCGTGCTTTGCGCGGGCTGGGCGCTCTGGGTCCCGCACACGCATCCATAGATCCAAGTCTCTTCCTGGCAATCTAGCTGGTCTGGGTGCTATGCCAGCTGCCTTCTTCCATGCTGGCAGTGACAAGTGCATGGAATGAGGAAACATTTCGTCCCGAAAGAGAGATTCCTTAGGATCCAGCGTCTCAGCAAACAGTTTTCTTGGTCGTCGCTGTGTCTGCGGCTACATCCGATGTTTGCCCCTCTTGTGATCTGAGTGCTCTGACCGGCGTGGGGTCGTAAAGATCGCTGGTGACCAGAGCAAAGACCTCGGCGATATTTCTGCTCAATTCATTGGAAATTCCAGGTTGATCTATATATTGTCATATGTTCCAAACATTCCCAGTGGCGAATGGTTTTTTCTGGTTTCTCGTAAACTGGGGCGGGAGCTAGCGGATGTCTAGACTCTTGATCAATAAAACCCCCTTGGTGAACTAAGAATCTACATGAATTAGGTCGACAGAAGGTGTTTTTCACCAAGAGTTTGTTTTCCTTCTTCTCTAACAACCCCCCAACTTCACCAAACTTCCATTCCGAAAAACAACATGTAACATGAAGACCTGCCTCGTCACAAGAAAATGTGTCTCTTTTTCAACTACTTATGCCCCCCTTTTACATATGCCACTTGCAAAACGCCTTGGCAGGGCTGCGCGATGTGAATCTCGATGTGCATACTCGTGCCAGGCGAAGCGCTTTGTGGACCCTGATTTTGTGGCAGGCGCAGTACTTTGTGCACCTTGAAGTGCAGATTTCGTCGCAGGCGCAGCACTTTGTGGAGCTTGAAGTGCAGATTTCATGGCACGCGCAGTGCTTTGTGCAGCTGGAAGCGCAGCTTTCGTGGCCGGCGCAGCACTTTGCGGACGGCAGCACTTTGTGGACCTGAAGTGCAAAATGGCGCAGCACTTTGTGGACCTTGAAGATTGCATGGCGTACCATATTGTTAGAGCATGTTACGGCCAAGGCAAACAAACAAGTTCCACTGATGATTGCACCACCTGCGGACGCTTGATGATTGCACCACCTGTCGGACAAAGGATCCCCTTACCAGGATCCCAACCCAACATATATCCACATCTATACTTATCAGACTCATCATTCCCCTCCTGGTCCAAACCTGGCTCTGGCTTTGGTTCTTCAGCCTCACCAGCTTCAAACACAGCTGGATCCCTAGGCGCTGGTGGTGGCACAATTGGCTCAACAAGTGGCGGCACAATTGGCTCAACAGGTGGCACAATTGGCTCTGCGGGTGTTGGCGCAATTGGCTCAGTATGTGCACCATTTGGTCCAACGATCCGCTAAAACATCCTTGAAGTGAGCTCCAGGGTAATGGTTGGCGCTGCGCTTTCAACTGAGTCAGGAAACAATGACATCAAGTCAGCTGAGACGTCATTGTTGATCTCCTGCAACTCGGAGGCCGGCTTTCCTTCATCAATGGAATAGCCGCCACCTTGGCAGCAACATGTCCGTACATGTCGGCGCGGTACTCGGCCGGACTCAAGCCATCAAGCTCCAGGCGCTCTGCCGAGTTTGCCACTTTTTCTTAGGTACCAGGTAGCAATCCTGTGGATGAGTTCACCACCACCATCACCATCACCACTATGACCCCCACCGCCATCAACACCATCATCATCATCAACAACATCATCATCGACACCACCACCACCACCACCACCACCAGCAGCAGCGTCACCACAGTTCGAATCTGAGAAGATCAACGAAAGGGTGATGACAATCACAAGCAAAGAGATTCTATAGCGAAAGCTCTAAATCGAAGTTCTAGACGATAGTCGGTTCAATCCTGGCCGCATGGTCGCATGTTTATCGCTCGTGTCTTGAGCCAGCGACAGCCGGCGTGTCTCGATAAAGTGAACCGTGAACTTGTGAGACCTAAGTGATACCTGGGCAGCAAGAAGCGAGTTGCACACAAGCAACCGTGGAACTTGTATTTCAACTCGCGTCATACTCTTCTTGCGTGTGCGCTGCAAAACCATGTCGCATCCGTATCCAGTGGCGGACCTTCCAAAGTCCGGTCGTGAGAAGGTTCTGCTTGTATAGCCACTGAACTTTGTCAACAAATCTGAAAGCATGCCGTGGGTATACTGATGTGTCCAAAACGTCGCAAGCGTCCAAGTCTTCTGTCTTCTCTCAGTGCTAACACGCCAAGACGTTGTGATTTATCGGCTGGGATTCCTTTCGACCCGTGACAAGATCATAAAAATCCACGCAGTTGACATATGCATCAACAGCCACCATTGTATGGTGTGTATCCATCCAAGACAACATTTTAGCGGCTGTCAAACTCTGTGGCAAACCAACTGTGCCGTTGGAACAGCCCTTGCACATGCGTTGGTCTCTGCATGACCAAATAAAAAGGTGCATCTTACCTCCGTGAGCCTCAACATCCGAAAGAACAAAGTCGTTCGTCTGTCTTCAAAGGGTGTGCACGATCTTCACCAAGCAAGATACGTATACCCTCAGAAGCGTAGTCGGACCGTTTGTTTGCTGAGGAGGCATCTGAGATGCAAATCACTTGAAGTGGTGGCGTCAACATACGGTAGAAAATACCGTACCGTTCCCTGTTGGGACTCTTCAATCCCTTGATCACTTGGTTGATCAACGCAAGATCACGCAAAGGATAACTTCTGTTGTAATGACACAACGCATGAAAGCTCTTGACAATTCGTTTGGCAAGCCCACAACGCACCGCATGTCAAGCTGCGGAACAAAGTCACCTCTGCCCCAATCAACTTGCCATCTTCAGATCGGTTCTTGAGGCAAATGTCGGACGTGGACAATTTGCTGCAAAAGCGATCTTGGCGCAAACGGATCGTGCCATTAGCAAGTCTTTCAAGCTCGATGCCAGCGTGGGTGTATGGAGTCCTCTCTTGTTTTAAGCTCCCAAAACGACCACCAGCACCATCATCACCAGCACCACCACCAGCACCACCACCTCCATCTCCACCAGCACCAGCACCAGCATCACCCCCACCGCCGCCACCACCACCATCACCACCGCCACCTTCACCTCCATCAGCACCACCATCACCACCACCATCACCATCATCACCACCACCATCATCACAACAGCCATCACCACCTTCACCAACATCATCACTACTATCGCCGCCGCCGCCGCCACCACCACCACCAGCGTCACCACCACCACCACCACCATCACCACCATCACCACCACCACCACCATCACCACCACCATCACCACCGCCACCATCACCTCCATCAGCACCACCATCACCACCACCACCACCACCATCACCATCACCATCACAACAATCACCCCTACCACCATCAACACCATCATGACCACCTTCATCACCACGATCTCCAGCACCGTCACCGTCGCCACCATCATCACCATCACATCTCTCTGAAGCCCAATACGTCTAGAACTACACCTCTAGACTCTAGACCTTAGACATTTAGACGCACTGCTTGGGGTCTCTTGCTGGGAGATGTTTGAACTTCCGCGAACTCAACAGGGCGGGCAGTCTTGGATAGATTCTCCCCGTGTCTTTCATTCTTCACTGTATAAACATTGCTCTTCTTGCAGGCCCAACCTGAAAAACGTGCCAAAGCATCAGCAAAAATCTTTCGGGGGTCAGGCGAAGAACCTGTACCTTTTTGCTCTTTGAACACCATCATTGACCCCCGGTGGTGATCGGTCAGTACTAAGTCGAGCCGGTCTGGGCAGCCAAGCCCCAACCAACTTGATGAAGTTGTTCAAGGCAGGCCCACTTGTGTCCTAGCAGTGGCACAAATTGGGTACAGGACCCACGGATCTTATTAAAATCTGTCTCGTGTAAAAGCAAGAGATCTTGCAGGGCTAAGGAATATAGAGGCAGATTATTGAGACATGCAGTTGGAAATGCTGTCTGGTCTCTCTTTTTGTGCTTCAACAAGGTGACGCGCTGATCCAAATTTGAATTCCCCGTGAAATCTCGATAAACAGCCGTTCGCTCCCAATGCCCAGTGATGATGATGATGATGATGATGACGATGATCTCCATGACATCATCTGTAATCTCGATAATGTTTTTTTGTTTTTCCGTGTGTTTCCTTTGCATGCGACTTCATTGACTTCCTCATCTTCCGAACGAGCCGAGGGAACTCGCGAGGGTTCACGCGATGGGAAGAAGACATCTGCCGATCAAGCTTCAAAATTTCCAGGGATTTCAACAAGAATCGCCTCAAAAAAGGCTGGCAGGGTGCCAAACCATGCCAACATGTGTGTGTGTGTGTCTGTAAAAATAGGGAGACCTCCCAAATAAGACCCCCCTGCAAAACGAAAGTGAGACCACCTATTGGTCGGGGATCTGTATAATTCAATCTGCCTCAGTTTCCTCATGTTGCCTCACACCAAATCCTTATATATCTATCTGATTATATCTGCATGACTGCAACACGGAAGACTTGAGCTTTCTCCGCCAACAAGCGTGGCCGCCAAAGCGGCGTGCGTCGAAATCGCTCTCCTCGAAGGGACCGCCGATCATCTCGCCCACCTGGCTTTCGGGCCCAGAGGTCGGAACTAACTCCAGTGACTCCAGTGACTCCACTCTTGAGTTCTTACACTAGTTCTTACCCCCTACTTAACTGGAGTTAGTTGCATCAGCTTTGTCAATGGTGCAAATACAGAAGTGACTCTGGAAAAAAATCATTTTCTTGAGTCTGCTTTCTGTCTGTCTTTGTCTAATTTTTCTGATATGTTATTCTTGACCTTTAGGTGCTTGAGGTCAGAGAAGGAAGCCCCCAAAAAAGTGGTTCTGAAATATTTTCAGACTGTCTCCGTGTCTCTTCCTCTCTTGTCTATCTCTCTCTCTCTCTCTCCTTTCTCTTCTTAACCTACAGGCTATATAGGTGAAGCAGGTTTGGGAAGAGAAGAATGCGGGAGAAAGACGTCCTCAAAAACGAATTCTCTTTAGATAGTACTTTTTCGGTCTGCGTCCTTGTCTCTCTCTCTCTCTCTGTCTCTATCTATGTCTATGTTTCCTTTTGTTTTCTAAGTGGGTGGAAGAGATTTAGGACAAGAAAGTGGGAGAAAGAAGTCCTCAAAAAATAATTGAATTAGCTCTGGAGTGCATTCTGCTTCACCCCGTTTCAGTCTGTGGCAAATAGAAAAGAAACTACAGGAAAGAATTGACTATGGAGGCCTTTTTAGGGTTCATCCCTTGCTTTATCTCTTTGTGTATTTTTCCTCGGCTTTGTGTTGCATGTGTTGCTACTCAGCCTCTTCCACGCTGTCAATAATGAAGACAAACATGTTTGCATGACAAGGAAGCTCACTTGAATCACCAGAAATCCCAGAAAGATTTGGTCATGAACCACTTCACCGGCCGATTGAAATGGTCTCTGGTGACGAAAATGCGATGTGAATGTGACTGTTCTCTTCGGAGGAATCAGTCACAACAAAAGGTTGTCCACAAACATGTTCGGTAACAAAAGGGGTTCGAGGTAGTTGACGGCTGCAAGCCAGAGGTCTAAAATCGCCAGTTTTTGGTGCTCAAGATGCTCCTTTCAGGGACCCAGGCAGGCACGGAAACCTCTCTGAAGTCAAAGGGTGAGTCATCTTGTTCTCCTGTGCTTCCCGACATGAACCAAAAGGAATCAAATCCAGAATTAATTCTTCGACAAGCAGGGGTGATTTCCAATCAACTGTAGACTTGTGACTTGCATATTGATCTGTACCATTCTGTATCCCATCCAAAATCACACTCTCCACCTTTGACTTTGAGAGCACCTGCCCCCACGCTCTGAGCACGGGCCATGCCAGCCACACTCCCAGATCTCGGAACTGCTGGGAATCAGGGCCTGGGCGAGGGCGACGACGCCAGGGAGCCCCCAAAACGAGGCAACCGAGAGAATTGAACGAGGCAACAGGGACTTCATCTAGAGGCAGTCAGGCAGTAGTACCAAAGAGCAACCATCGAAGCAACAAACACACCCTAAGAATGATGTGCCTTGACAAAATTCAACTAAATCTGACATACCTCAGCAAGTATCACCAAGTGATATGGCTGTGAGCAACACCCTCACATCCCTTGAATAACCCCACGAAAATGATGAAATTTGAAAAACTTCCATACATTGTGAACCGATCAAATGGACACTTCTGAAGTGTTTGCTACCCACAGCCATATGGGTACTGTATATCCGAAAACAACCCAAAGACATCCAAACACCAAACCCCCCTGGAAGAGGATGGAGGAATGGCTGGGGTCCACGACTGTTCAAACCCACCGAGTCAATACCAAATCGACCCAATTGGCCCAATTGGCCGTCGCCCATCTGCGGATATCTGCGGTCGACATGCCGTGCGCAGGCTCTTTCGCGTCGAGGAGCCGATGGACTTCCCGTGCTCATCCTTCAGAAGGCCGTAGAGGATAAACCTCGCCGGCCACAAAACTGGCAGATCGGATGGGGAATCATTGGTTGCCAAAGAGGTGTGCCGCACCGGATGTGCCTAGCGAAATGTGTGGCATGGTTTTGGGGTCCACGGTTGGCCTATCCCGGATCATTCAGATGTCCACATGGTCGAGAGATTGAAACGACATAAAAATAAAAAGGGCCAAGAAGAAGCGTGAAGGATTCGATCGAATGACCTTCTTATGAAGGCACTCTCATGTTTTTCGAATGGCGAGATAGCGAGCAGTTAGGAGTCGCATCCGACGGGTCCTGGGTCCCTCAACGAAGTCGCTGCAGAAAAACGCCACCTTCCTTTTCTGCTTGGAAGTTATGGGTGAACATGTCGGACTGTCTACCCAAATTGTTTTGACGTCCTGTCTACCCAGCATCTCACAGACTTCTATACATATACACAAGAAGATCTACCTCAAACCCGGAGGCTCAGACAATAGTGAGGAAAAAGGAAATCCTCATGTTATGAGGAAAGCAACACAGTTCAAAAGACAAAACTTACGGATCATAGAAGCAACAAGTATTGACTTCTTCACAAATGTTGAGGACACTTTCACAGGTCACTGCAGGGTTTTCAGTTCAGAACACAAAGCCCAACCCTGACTCCAGTGCTATCCATGGGATTTTGACCACAAAGGTGGGGAATCTCTCGTCAATACATTCGACATAACATCTCCGAAGCGACATGTTGACAACGTCTCCAAAGCAGGGCAACAAGCTTGCTCGTCTACAAGTCGTGTTGGCACCAAGACCTCGGCCTACCCGATGCCTTATGCAGTTGGTAGGTGGCACAAAGCTGGTACCCCTCAACATTCACAGCTATAAACTCTTCCTGTGGAGCTCTCCGTGATTCCAGAGTCATGCGAGTACTTTCAGTGTCACCTCGCCTTTTGCCAAATGATATCAAATTTCATCCCCGTACACCGAGGCTACACTCCGGTGGTGTAGCACACCCCAGTGCCAGGTCCACTTGGACCAACAACCACTCCCGGGGTCGTCGTTCGTTCCCTTTCGCGCCTTCGGGCTGAGAACCAGCTCTGCCCGGCATTCATCAAGAAGCTCGAGAAGCACAAGATCAGCACATTGGAGCCTTCAAAATCGACAACCATCCACCATGCCTTCATTAGGCTGCCGGGCTGCCGGTCCAGTCCGGTGGTAAGGACAGAACTTCACCACTTGAGATGAATGCGATATAGTTCCATTGAACATCCCAACTAACCCTGCTGAGAATACCGAAAATCAATGAACATCTGGGTGGTTGAATTTCCATCATTGACTTTTTGATACACATGAAGCTGACACCTTTGGATGCCCGGAAAAGTCACAAAAGACCATCAATTTGACCCGCTGCTTGCTTGGGTGTCAGGGGCCTTGTCGATCAACCCACTCACCAAACGTGGACAACTGCGTGTAACAAGAAAATTGCGCCTCAAAAGAACCGCAAAACGCGAGAAACAGAACAATGCCGTCAGGTCTAGCCACTTCCATAGAGTTCGATGATCATATTTTCATGAAATAGGCTAGGTTCTAGGTTTAAGATGGCCTAACTTTGCTTGGCAACGCTCACCAGCTCCACGACCCACAGCGGCCCCATTTCTCTGAGGCGGCCTGAGAGCAAGAACATCAGGCCGCGAGTGCCCAAGAAGAAGCCGCCCAACCTGTCGCGGGTGCTTTTTCGAGAAATCCGCCGGTGGAGTGAGACCTCCGTCCGCGGGCGGGTGCTGGAGTGGGAAAAACTGGAAGTCACGACATGTCACGACATCCGAAAGAGAGATGTGGCCTGACTGGCCTGACATCCCCAAAAAGGTCAGGTCACGACATGCGAAGGTCAGGTCCTGTGGACCTGAGAAGAGATGTGACACATCTGACTCTCAACAGATGGGGTTCTTCGAGCCCAGTTTCCGCCTGGCTTGAAAGGTGGTCAGAAAGCGACTTCATAATTTCTGAGTCAGAAAATATAGACATTGTGACATAGGAAGAGTTGCTACGTAGAAACTTTATAACAACTCGAAGAGTTGTCTGACTTGATCATGCTGGTAGAATTCAAGTCGGATGAGTGACTTGGGTGTCCAAACCAATTCATGGCAAATGAACCCAGTCAACCTCGCAGTCGGACAAAGAACTTTTCGATTGTGGAGAAACCCACCCGATTCCTATCTCCTGTCGTCAATTCCTTTTGGCTTCTGGCTTTTGCAGAAGCCCTCCCCAAATCTCCCCAGAGGGTTTTGATGTTTCAATTTGAGATCGCTTTGCAATCCAAAAGCCCCACGGCAGTCGCCCACGGCCGTCGGCACGGGACAAAGAGGCTTCATCCAATCCAGCAAACTTACCCATGGGCTACCTCCATTTCGTTCCAAGGAGGATGGACACGCTATTGGGACACATTCTGATAACTTACATGGACCCTGACGTCCTGGCTCCCTGGAAGATTGTTTTCCTCTACCTACCAATGGTTTTCAGGGCCCATGGGGTCGGATGTGTTGTGTGCTCCGAAAACCTGTGTTCCTGTGCACTCTTCCCCGCACCTCTACAAACTCAGCTACTATAGCGGTAAGTACTTAAGTGCAACCACAGTCGCCCGCCGCGCATGCCGCGCACATGTTTGACTGGATTTCAATGGCCATACCCAGGCCAGTCCAGGCCGCGCAGGCCAGGCACGAAAACAGCCTCTGCATCCCTCAGCGCTCTTGGGCGCTTCACATAGTATCGTCGGAAATCTTCCCAGGGCTTGAAGAGTTCTGGCACCATAGTGGCCACCTGGCGCTCAATGGGGAAATTGTCAGCGCTTGGCGTTGCTGCCTTGGGACAATTCCAGCAGGTTGGCTTCCTTGTTGCGCACTCGAGCCATGCGGATGACATCAAGAGCACACATCAGGGCACCACCCACAGCAAACCTGAGACAAAGCCAACCACTCCCATATTGTCGCTGTATGGGTGGAGGCAAGCTGTGACCAAGCCGCCCTGTTCCCCGCGAACTTGCAGTAACGCCTGCTGCGCAAGCAGCTCCAAAGCGCAAATGCCTTACTTTGATTTGAGAAGCCTGACCAGAGTTCATGGAGGACTTGATCTAAAGCTGAGTAGCTGGGCGGGATCATAAGGGATCCCAAGGCATTCAACCCACGCCGCGCAGAGCGAAAACGATGCGCAAGTCCGGCAGATGCCAGTTGGCACCAACGGTTCCACGCTGTAAAACGAAGAAAAGGCGCGCTGTAAACGCCGCTTGGGGGAGCTTTCAGATCTTTCAGATTGCTTTAAAGCTTCATTGACAGCGCGCCAATAATTGGAACGCCCTTGTTCTCCTTTGCACTGTGTGAAGCAAAGGTATTCGAAGGCCTCGTCTCTGATCTCGCGCTCCAACTCAGATATGATCCATTTAGGGACTCTTTAGGGATTTGCTGTAACTCTAGTGGCACCACACGCTTTTGAATGTTCCATCTTCACGGCCGTGAACAACTGGAAGCCTATGCCGAACCGAGCCGCAAGTCTCTTCGTGTTTCTTCGTATGTCAGTGCAGCATAGATGCGCTTCCCAGAACCTTCCCCACACAGTGCGAACACCAGAACGAACCTACCTCCCTTGCAGACAACAGCGATTTAGGCATTTCAAAGGGAGAATTGAACTCAAAAAGAAAACAAAACACGATCAAACCTGGTCAGGGGTTCAAACACAAAACCAGATCCAACGAGACAACTGAAGGGAGTGTAAACGGAAGGTAGTGAGTTAGAGAGAGAGAGAGAGAGATGTTTCCGTGTGTCAAGCCGACCCAAAAACTACACATCCCATCATCCCATGTCAGGTTTGGGGTTCCAAACTCCATGCACCGTGTGTTGCTGGGCCCGGCACATAGGACACACCAACGTGTTGATCAGCGGGTTGAAGACCTAGCGACGGGCACCGCCCGACTGGCCGTGTCTGGACCGATGGCGTCCCAGGGAAGCTCAAAGCACTCTGGACCACATCATCGAACCCAACCACCCCACTGAAAGAATTGCATATAATAATATATATATATATGTACTGTATTCTTCATTCGGGGACGGTATGCACTATGAAATCCACTATATATATATGTCGACTCCAGGTTCCTTTGCAACCTGAGCCAACTGAGTCATAACGGTGATTCCAGAAGGCGATTCCTAGCCACACAAAGCCCATCACACAGTCACCGCGCGACACCGTCACCGCGCGCATCGCCGATCGCGGATCGCGATGCGCGCGCCATGCGCATGGAGGTGACGGTGCCGTAGGAGGAGAGGATCTTCAAGGCCTTGTAGTGCCTCAAAACTCAGGGATGAAACCGTGAACCGAGCACCCCATATTGTTCATGAATCATCTCCATGCGGGTAGTTTTGCATGTCAAGTCATCCCAGCGCTGCCGATCGTTGATCTGCTGCTTGAGTTCTCCACCTGGTCATCTCTGGAGTAACTTCAAGAACAAAAGGTTCACCATTCAGTTGCAATGAAAGCTGCTGGCGTTCAATAGCAAACAATACAGGTGGATTGCTGCTGCCAAGCCAGGCCAAGCCTTGGTGGAATTGTATAGATTATAGACGGTATAGATCAAGGCCAATCTAGGTCTCTAGATAGATTCCCAACCTTTGATCTTAAGGTTTGGATTCAATTGGTAGATGAAGCAAGGTCCAGCCTGGGTTGGTCAATCCAACTATCTGGGCATGCGCAAGAGTCTCCTGCTCGAGCATCAAAAGTGCATGTTTGACCCAACTCCAACTTCCCAAGTGAAAGGCCTATGGGTCAAAGCATGTCAAAGCCATAGAACCATACTGACCTCCGAAAATCATGCAAACCTATTGGTAACCTATATATAGACTACAAAACTCTTGTTTTTTGGTATTGACATGTATTGGGCCGAAACCTCTTATTTGGTTAACTGCAGCTACGCTAGTGCCGTCTCGGCCTACTTCTGCCATCTTGCTCTCCGAAACCGAATTGTATTGACGTTGAAGAACTAGTTTTTTGATAGCCCAACCTGGTCACAAATGGAAACCTACTTTGTTGTATTAGCCTCCGACGGCCTCCTGGTTTGAGTTGCGTCGAAGTTCTTTCCCATGTGTTTGTGTGCATGTGCGTGTGAGAAAAACTTCTAAGGACTGTGCCAACCACCGTCGAGGGTATCTTGTGGAGTCTTGTTAAGGTAGCTCAGGGCTGGAGCACTGGTTGGTTTCGGCACGGGTATCCGATTTGTATTCAAAGAAAAATCACAGGAGGACCTCGGGGATGAATTACATCCATCAACATGTTGCTATTGTTTGATGTGGCTTCTCCTGGATTCTTTGATCAATTCCTTTTGACCTTTAAGGGGCATGTAACAACTGAACATGTCCCTGGGACTGGTCTGCAACATCACATCTGCTCCGGCCAAACCATAAGTCTCGTTTTCACCGTCCCGTCACGGAAGCCCCGGTCGGTGGCTCGGTGGCGAAGGGGCCCTGGACAGGTCGGACATCACCACGTCGAAACGGTCATCGGTCAACGGTCGTCCGCCGTCTGCCTGCGAAGCCAAGCGTCGTCTGCAGTCGGAAGGTGTGGCATGAAAACCATGCCATTTCAGGAAGTCCGGATCAAGGAAGTTTATAATCCCTAGGGCTCCAACCACCTCCTTAGAAGGTGGTTGGTGTGGGTTTTGGGGGTCTAGCCACCTTCTGAGGATATGGTTGGAGCCCTACGGAATGTTACTCTGCTACACTGCTGACTACACAACCCATTTCTTCTTCGTTCGTCTGCACGAACTGGGCACCCGCACGAACTGGGAAAGGGCAACTCTGCTTGCCGGTTGGTCTCAGGTGCATCCTGCCGGTTGGTCCAACGGACCCGGTTTCCGGCGGCGGCTCGCACCGAACCGAAGCGGCGGTAGCACCGGAGTAGTGCCATCGAAGATGATTCGCAAGCCAAGACGAGGCCAAGATCCTCTTCGCACCTTGAGTGTTCGATTGTCTTTGAAGCAATCCAATACCCTATTGGCTGGAATCCCGTACCAAAATAGACCATGTTGCAAAGAATCCACTCTAAAAAGACACATGGCTGGGTCCGGTTAGTAAAGCTCCCATGATTGAAGATAACAGCCCAGGTCCAGGTCTCTTCGTTGCAGACCGCTTGAGATATGTCTAGAGCCAAGCAACGTGCTTGATAGTTGGTGACTTACACAAAACTCAGAGCTCAATAATTTTGCTGCAGTCCCATCGATCCCTTGAAGCCACATCCAACAACTCAGGCTCCTCAGCTGAGCAGTCTTACGTAAAATTCTTATTGGTCTTTTCACACCGAAACCTTGACACATCTTGACACCGTCTTTCATACCTCCAAACTGTGAGACGACCGAAATGGAGATCCGTGACGCACTCCACATGAGAGAGCTCAGATCCGTGACGCAGATCCGCAGCTCGTGCGTAGCGCAGTGACACACCGCATCGCACACGCCTGGCAAAAGCGCATGAAGGATTTGGAGGTCTCCAAGCAGCTCATCGTGGTGTTCGCCGTAAAGACGAAGGACATCGCCTGGCGGTCGTGACGATGGTCTGGTCTTCCTCTCGTGAAGGTCGGTCAGGAGTCCGGGCAGGTCTGGTGTTTCTTGGGGTGGGAAGAGTTCAATTAGGCAAGGGTGGACACTCACTGCTTGGCCTTGGCATGCCTTTGCAAGCCTCTCGAAGCAAAAAAAGGATTGTGATGACATGGTTTTTCGCCAACCGCATGTCACAGTCGCAGAAGTCAAGTCAGATCTTGGAATCGGGAAACGACTCATGACTTACTTCGCTCACAACTTACTCATGAAGATCACACAACAGCTGTTGTGATCACACCAGGATGAATTGAACTCCAAATCTCGAAATTCACCGTCTGTTGGCAACCGTATTCTGTCCTCACCGTGCCGTGTTCTTTTTGTTGGAAGGAAGTGCTTTTTTAGGGCAAACGTTGCAAAGGGCTTGGGGTCAGTAGTAAAAGACAAAATATCTCAAGTCATCCAAGTCTGCCTTGCATTCACAAAGTATGTTCGTGATTCTGGCAGCTCACAATAGATCTGCAAAAAACGAACTCTGCCTGAAATGACATTTGGCCATGGTGCGCGAACTACTCAGTCCCACGATGTGACTTAGGCTGATGATGGTGCATGCCGCGATGGCAGGAGCACATATTTGGCTTCGTTGCAGGAAGATGGTGAGGACCGACATCCGTGTCGTGCTGACCATTTAAGCCTTCCAATCCAATTGCAGCCTGTGGAAAAGGAATGTGTCACCAATCTCCCAAAACCTGGTCCAACTTGCGAAGACTGAGGTGTTTGTCATACAACGAGTAGGCCACTGATCGAAGGGCCGGCGTTGAGTGTTTAAGAGATCTGACGTCGTAGTGGTTCCACACCCAGCTGGCGCACCATCTACTGGTGCCACTCATATTACGCACTCACAAATCAATGCCGGAATCCTTGACCTTCCTGGAAACTAACCTCACATCCACCACAATCAAAAGGAAAATAAACAACAAAGTATAAACAAATATAGAGAAATTCTTTATCCCAGAGATTCCAAAAGGAGATTCCTCAATCGCCTGTTCCTCTTCAAGATTTCCTCATCCACCACTCTATCTCCAATCTCCATCTCGACGCAAAAACGCCGCCGGGAGCACCACACCAAGCACCAGACCTGCCTGGTGCGGATGGCGATTTACGCGAGGGATGGGCGAAGCGAACCTTCGGCTGGTTGGTCAATCAAGGGATGCGTTGTGAAACAGAACTTCTAATTTTGGTCCTTTTACAGTATAAAGAATGGGAACTATGAGATACACTGGAATTACACCACGAAGTTGTATAGGTTGTCAAAGGATCTGCAAGGATGTCCAAGGTTCCAGGAATGTTTGACGAAAAGTTGCCATGAAATGCGATCAGAATCAGGGCCTGGCGGCCTGGTTCTAATAAAAGAAGTCAAATTCCCCCATGTTGGCCCATACTGGTTCCGGCTGGCAAAACCCTCCGAAAAGACCACTTCTTGATACTTCTTTCTCACCTGACTCCTCCAAGTTCACAGACTTCTTACCTGACCCCCGTCGTTCCGGAACACAGCTCCCTCCCATGTTGGGGGGGTGCTGGACGCTGTGAAACCACGGTGGTGCCGAACCAGGCCCTGGCGACGCCTGACTCCACTCGGACAGGGGCGAGCCGGCCACGGCCTACGAAATGGAGAGCCACGGCTGTCGGAGATGGACCAGTTGATCGTGAGGAAGCATGCTTTGCTTGGAGAATGTAGACTCTGTCGTGAAAATACAAAGCCCTCCCATTTGGATTCAACTTTGACCTCATGAAACAAGAGTCCACATGGTCCACATGTTCAGGGGGGGGTTTTAGATTGCCCAGCTCATTCTTGGAATATCCACTCATCCAGATCAAGGAGGCTCATTCGACTCCCAAGACTCTTCTCTTCCAACTTACGGTGGTCAAGGAGGCGGAAGATCTTGGAGGCCGTGCCATATGCAGGCAACCCCACGGCAGAAAACGTTCTTTGCTTATTAAAGGACATATCGAATACATATCATATATCATGTCCCAAATGTCTTGAGCAAATCAACTGCAAGTGTCAGAATTTGTGTATGTCTTTGTCATTTCCCTAAAAGCTCTTCTTTTTGTCGTATTGCTCTGGAGTTGTTCACCTTGCCATGTTTGAGCCTCATGCACGGTGATTTGGGGAACAGCTCATCTCCCGAACCTTGGCTCCGCTGAATCCAACGAACTGCGTCCCTTGCGCCCCAGGTGCCGGACCGAGCTCTTTTCGACCGAATGCACGCGTTGGATAGGGCGCTTTGGATGGGAGCTCCACCAGAAGTACACAAGCCAAAGGCTGGTCCAAAGAAAACAAGAATTCACTGCAGTTGGATTTATATAGAAAAAAGCCACAACAGCTCCTGCAGTTCACACTGGCCTAGGTCATCCTTTTCTTCTCTAATTCAAAAGCTCTCAAGGTGGTGCTCCCCGTATTGAGGATTCCAACTTCAACCCCACCCGATGCGCGGCAAGGAGTTCTTCTCCCAGGTCCGATGCGCTTTTCAGGTTGGCTCATGAGAGAAAATCACTGCGCCGCTCCAGACCTCAAAAAGCAACTCCACCAATGACTTCAATCCAACCTGACGCCCCCGGGTTCAGGTACTTAGATTGCTTTTCTCCCACCAAGCGATTCTCCTGCGCCGATCTGAGAAAAAAACAGAAACAACAACATGTTTTTTGTTGGCGCTCCAGGTGCAAAGCCGGGAAACCACTACCAGCAGTGAAGACTCAGTCAGCACGAGAGCCTTAACAAAGATCTTGAGATGTTGAACAAATGTACTTGCACTTGAAGGGCAACGAATAGGATGTGCCATTTATTTACACCCCAAACATCACTGAGATATTGTGTGAGTGAAATACGGTGAGGCCTCAAGAGACCTAGAAGGTGCGTATAGGAATGTGTAGGATATCATCAAGGATCAATGTCAACAAACACATCTAACACGATCTGCCCTTCAGGCCTCAACATCTGGTGTGTGCGGGGCTATGCTGGCCTCATCTGGCCTGTGGTAGGGCAATGCTTCCACCTCTCATGCTGGAACCAACCAGCTGACCACACGAGCTACGCCGCGACACCGAGGGCGGCGGAGTTCGCCAACGCAAACGCGGCAGCAAAAGGATGGGAAACGCGACTCATCCTCACTTCACTCACTTCGTCAGCTCAGCTTGAAACATCTTGTGTTGGAATCGAACGATGAAATGGGGTTTCACCATTCCCCAGTGACTTTGTGAGCTAAAGCTGCCCAGCTCGTTGACTATTGATTTAATGGAGCCCTAGGTCGTGGGCAGCGTACTGACAGGCAGTGCAACCTGATGAGTTGTCCATTGGAACGACACTCCGTGCACCCTGGATGTGTATCTATCGTGCGTATCGTGCGTATCGTGTGGTGTGAAGTGTCGTGGCATAGAAAACGAAACCATTGTGGAAGTGTACACAGAGATACATTAATAAATGAAACTGGGTGCACCTTCATGGAAGGAGGAGCTGATCATGTTGGAGTAGGAGAGTGGTAGATCAGTTCAAATGGGGGACCTCCCAGTTCGACCCGTGGAAGAAGGAAATATTATGAAACGGGTCGACCATCCGTTGTGTGGCCCTCCTACTTATATATAATTGGATTCCACACACCGGATGATGACTGATTGTGACCATATTTGATCCGGTACTTCAGCCACACTATCCATCTTCCGGCTGGATACATGATGCAGGTTGACTCTGAAGCACATCTCATGTCAACGATTTGATCTGTCGATCCTAAGTCATCTTTGCTCCACTAGTGGTGCGTTGTCGAATTCTCGTGCAAACTGCTACCATGCTCCATCAAATTAGCCAAACAGCTTCTGGCAAAAATCCCCACAGCCTCACACCCACCAGCACAACAAAAATCCACAGGGTTGACCACCTGACAGCCTCACGACCCAGTCAAAGCACAAAAACTACACACTAGAATCATCAGACTGTAATAGAATAATATGTTTTTTTGATTGGGTAGTAAAATAGACTGCAACATACCGTAACCAGTTATTTTAGTAACCAATTATTTTAGTCACTGTAAATCTGCCTCCATGAACCAGCGTTGATGATGTTTCTGCCAGTAGCTCTGATTCAAACAGTTCCCTTCAGGGAACCCGCACGCGGACCCGCGCAGTTGACTCACCACCCAAGGGTGACCTGAGTTCATCATGAGACTGTGCTGCCAACGTTCCACAAGGTCAGCAATCAATCCGCGAGAATACCACAATGATACATAGTAGAAAATATCCCAACAAAAAACGGATCCCTCCCAGTTGTGTTTTTAAGAAGTGGTGGCAACAGGCGGAAGGGGACAAGGAATGACAGCATTATGTGCCGCTGATGAACAGAGATGTGAAACAAAATACTGAACCCTAGGGCTCCAAGTACTTCCTCAGAAGGTATTGGGACCCTCCTGGCACCCACCTCAAACACCTTCGAAACGAAGGTACTTGGAGCCCTAGGGCCGCTAGAGCGAGGGAGTGGAGCTGATCATCACGGAGCGCCTCCGTGACTGCGCCGCAACCTGCCTCCTTCCCCTTCTTGACCATGAGGCCGTAGCTAAAGGCCCTTTGTTTCCCTCAGAGTCTTGCTCCTTCTTGAATCCACATGGCTGACAATCTGCTTCCTGGCTTCAGAGTCTTCTGTCCGTCTCCTCGCCTGATCCTCTGCTTCCTCATTAAGGCTCGCCCCGAAGGCTTACCTTCGGCTCCAAGACAGCTGGCTGCATGGCCCGGTCTCATGGCCGCGTGACCGTACACTGCGTGGTGCCAAGGCCCCAATTGATGCTGCCGAATTCGGTGATATAGCTGTGCCGCACAAGCCTTCAATAGCTTCCTAGAACCTAAAAGAGCGTTTGAGACCGCCAATCACTCAAAATATGCTCTGTTCCTTCCAAAAACAGGGGTCAATTGGCTTCGAGGTTTGACAATGTGCCCTCGGCTTCTTGCAAGTACTTTGTATCTTGCCAGGACGTTAACAATTGCATTGTACATCCCCCACAGTGCCGTGTTGGCGCCAAACATGTTGGCCTCACTTCATCATGTTCAATGGGTATTCAGTGGTCTTGTGAGGTTGTACTTGCCTCTTTGCTGCAGTCGTACGTGCCACCTTCATCCACTTAACGCATGCCTTCTGTGCAATTCGTCGTGTTGTGTGCTCACCTTCAGTCGAAAAGACGAACGGTTCGATCCTCGGAATCCTGGCCAACACCTTCGTCTCCAATCACACGTTCCGTACAAGAGTTACTCTTGGCCAATCCCGAGGATCGCACAGTGGATCGCACAGTTGTCCAGTACTTGGTATTCATTGGTATTCAAATGAATCCAAGCGTCCCGGTTTCTTGGCCAATCGTGGCTGTCATCGCACGGAGCTCTCCATGTCTTGGCACTCTCGGACGTCTGTTAGTCTGTCAGACGCCAGTGTCGTCCCGCCTGTTGGTGTCTTCACGAGTCAGGCAGTGTCTTCGCGAGCCAGGTATAGAGAAGACAAATCCAGCTGTTCCTGGTGCCCTGCATTATAGATCAGCTGTTGTGAAAAAAAAAAATCTGAGGTGATTCTGTTTCCTGAGGTTGATTATAACCTCATTTTGACGATTAACCTCTGAGGTTGTTCTTGAAACTAACCCTTAAATCTTGGAGGATATGATTCTTGGAAATATATAACCCAAAACAGCTCCCCATATGGGTTGTGAACACACTTGTTTTGTATTGATTATTTGGTGACTGTGTGGAAACATGATTGGAGATGGACCATATCATAATATCCATGTTGTGATAGGACACATATGTGCCAGCTATTTATTCACATGATGTGACATGATGTATTTGGACCTTACGTATGTTGAACATATTGGTCAGAACTATTGGGGAAGTTGACCCATGGTCAGAACTATTGGGGAAGTTGACCCATTGTCTCATGTTCATGAAAACTCATAGCACAGATACATATATCTGTTGCCACGTGTTGGTACACTGTCTTTGGAAGATGTTGCGGCATACATTGGTCAGAACTTGTTGGAACAGTTGACAAAATCTGCCATTGTTATGAAGACTGTCACATGGTAGTCTTGGGAAGATGTGCATGTGATTCCTATAGCCTATCGACATTTCACTATGAAAACCTTTGAGCCCTATGTATGTTTCAGAGAAGGTTCAAGTTTTAGTAACCTGGTGTTCTAAAAGCAGCTTTAAGGGAGCATTTGTTCCGAACAAGTTTTTGGACCAGAGAAGGCTCAACATTCAATCTGGTGTTCCAAAAGAAGACCTTGGAGCAGAGAAGGCGTACAAAATCACTACTGGCGCTTTCAATACGTTCTGAGAGCAGAGAAGGTTCAAAATGTCTCTAAATTCAATAAGCTGCTGCCCTAGTCTTTTGCTGCAGAGAGGGCGCAAAGTTCATTGGTGCTCCCAAATACTTGGTGCAGAGCAGAGCAGGTTCAAACGTCAAATCACAATTCGAGAGCAAAGGAGGCTCAAAAATCAAGGAAAACTGGTGCTCCAAAGAAGTGTGTGGAGCAAAGAAGCCGCCAAATTCAATAACGCGGCTCACCAAAAAAGCTAGGCTAGAACGCAAAAAAGTCACAAGTATAAAAGACTGCTCCCAAAGGTATGAAGCAAA